GGGGGGGCAACAACGCTGTCCTTTTTTTCGAGCGCATTCGCTCGAAAAACCATCCCTCTATCCCGGAGTACCGTGGGATGTCGCCGGAAATACGTATGTCGTTTTAGTACGCCGGGATGCTGCAGCGTGCAGCTGCAGCGAACTCTGCGAGTCTCCGGGAAAGTTTGCCGCAGGACAATGGTCTCTCCGTAGGTAGGTAGATACACGTAGGTAGGTACGCCGCGCTCATAAAAAAGCATTATGCGAGTTTGAGAAGTGTATCGTTCCGCTGCCAACTTGGACGAGCGCCGGTCGCCTCCGACGCGCGGAGGAACTTTCTTCTTCTTCTTCTTCTTCTTCTTCCTCATCCTGACTCGCTCTGCGACCGGCGCGCCGGACCGTGCATCCCCGCAAACGCATCTCTGCGCATCGTGCGCCTGTATTACGGGCGTCCGCGTCGCGGTAAAAATGTCACCGCGAATAAATATACAGTCGGATGCCGGCTGATGGTATTTTTTCTTTTTCTCTCTTTTTTTTCAAACGCTATACGCGCGCGCCTTCTGGCCGCGTATACATTGCGGTTATGAAACGTCATGAAACGCCTGGCTGCTCTCGCCGTTCTCGGCTGCTCCTCTTTTCTTCATTTTTTGTTTTTAGAAGAATACGCGCCAGAGAGAGAGAGAGAGAGAGAGAGAGAGAGAGAGAGAGAGAGAGAGGGAGGGAGGGAGAATCTCGACTCGTTGTACACGCGCACCCGCCATTGTCGCGCGGGTGTATAATCGCATTAATAAAATGGTATATTCTATGGGCGACGCGTTATAATAGCGGCGCAAAGTCTTGTGTGCTTTTGCATGACAAAGGAGGAAATTGACAAGCGCTGATGCTCTTGTTGTCACGGCAGCGGTGGATGGGTCACTCCCGCGGTACAAAAGAGCTGTGGATAAGAGACGAAAGCCCAGTTAATTAAATCCCCGTACGTTTAACTGTCTTGAAAAATTTGTTATCCGGCAAAACGGCGTTTCTGTCGGCTATAAAACCCGACGAGCAATAACGAGAAACTGTTATCCCCCACGGCTAGGTATGACAGTATTTTTTAATCGACTGATATTTCTATTATCGCGTTTTCATTATATTTATTCGCGATTCAAGTGCATTTAAATTAAAAAATAATTCACTCCATTTCTCGCCGCTTGAAAAATTCTTCTCGATCCCGCTAGAAAGATGAATTTAAAAGATTAATTCTATAAGAATAATTATATATACATATAATGTCTCCGTTTTAATGACAGATAAATTTTTGCAAACATATATTATACCCGCGTGAGGGAGAGAAGAATTTGACGAGATGTTTATAAGCATTAGTATTATTAAATTAATTATTAATTTAATATTGTGATATTATTCTGGTTCACAATTAAGAACTGCTTCGAGACCGAAAGTAACGGTGCGTAGTTTGCAGAACTAGAAAATGTATATCAAATCACATGAAATTTTAATAAGCATCAAGATCTTGATATAACCATCATTGGTCGATGTCACGAATTTAATGTTATAAATTTTTGGTCATGGTCCGACTTCGATCGCGTTGGAAATTTAAAGGTATATTTTTATTAATACAACTACTTAATTATTATTGACGTATTGACATTTTCGTAAACGAGGTCGACAAAATGATCGAGGGGTCTGCGCCGCATGAAGTACGGAGCGCGAATTTGCGGCTACCCAATGCGATACTACATTTCGCAGTGATATACTCGCTCACTTCGCCGACGAACTCCATAAATACGATGCAGCTGTGCGTATCTTGCGCCGCTGCCTCTCGGGCGTCGAATAAACGGCGGCGCGCGGACAACATGCATGCAAAATCGGGCGCGAATTAAAAGTATGTGCATTCTGATTAATCGGTCGGCACGCGACGTGCGTTTTGCCCTCTCTAGGATTTCGATCGCGCGCGGAGTGCACGTTGCGCCGCATCGACCGCGCCCGCGAGCAAGAGCGCGAGTGACGTTTATTTTCATCGCGCTTGAATAACGGCAGATAAATTTGCGAAGGAAATATTACCGTGCACGCGCGCGCGCTTTTCTCACAAAATTTTATCTTGCCGCGGCAGAGGGAACGCGCCGCGCCGGGGCTGAGAGCGCCGCGCTATAAATGTTGCGCCATGAATTTCGTCCGTGGCGGCGGACGCGCGCGCGACGAGCTTTTTTTGCCGGCTTTTCAAGATAAAATCGCGGACCATCTGGCGCGATATGCGTTTACAATTACCGCCGCGTCGCGAATTGCCTATGTAAATGCCGTTCGTCGCGCTCGCGTTTCGAACTGAACCGCGGGTGTTTTTTTTTCCCCGTTTGCGATTAATACATGGAGCGGCGTCGTGCTAGCTCGGAATAACCCTCCGGCGAGGATTATCGACCTCGTGTATCGCTCGTTTCTGTCTCTCTCTCTCTTCCTCCTCTTTTTTTGCCGCCATTGCCTCCGAAAACGCGCGGGATAGGTACTCTTATCTGACGCGTG